GCATTTATGTTCAACTTTTAATACGTTCTCGTAGGTTCTAATTTCCGTCAGTTAAATTTGTTCATTAATAAAAATGTTAAGTTCGTAAACATGAATCTAATAAATCGATAAAATGAATAATCTATACTTTATAAAACGTATAGGCTCATACAATCTCAAAATACAATTGAACATCGTGATAACATGTAATTTTTTTCCAACCTTGAAATTTACAATTATCAGATAATCTTAGACACAGAAAAGAACTTCTTGTGAAGTGAACTATATTTTACAACCAATTGTAAAATTAACGAGGTAAATTTTTATAAGGAGAATCTGTACCATGGTCTCTATATAAATGAATATTATATCTACCTTTATATATTTTAAAAATGATAATGGTGGTAATTAATCAGATATCTTTTATTAAAAAAAGGTTGCCCTTGACTGCATTTTTTTTTAAATGTTCTCTTTCTGTTTTTAATAGTTGTGTATTCCTTTTGTTAGACCTCCTAGTCTATTGCATAGAACTGTTGTTTATAAATCTATACTACTAGTATCATCTGTTTGGTACCTTTTGAATTTACTGGAATCATTTTGATATTATAGTTTACGTTCACAAATACAATATAGTTTCATATATACTAGTATCTAAATTTATGTAATAACAAATTTGTGTTACAACTAGATTTATAATCATATGTAGTGATGAATACTTCGATCTATTCTGTTGTTCATGTTAAATGCTTTTACGTTATTAAATTTTGTATCGCTTTAACGCTCTATAATTAAGGGCAACCTATATATTTATTTCGTGCTTTCTGCCGGAGAATGAGAAAAGAAAGTCAAAAGAGATTTTAGCACTAAATTGTGCACTTTTGTTATCCCTTAATTCAGCAATAATTTAATATAATCTCTCTATCATAGTACATAAGCTATATGTATTGCTGTCTAATGCATGAGGGTCTGAATGGGGGAGGGGAGGGGTCTTCGTTTCTGTATTCTTTAACTTTTAATGCAATTTTTCTCTGTTCTGTATAAATTTTGCTCAATAGTTTCTTATTCTTATATCTAAGAAACCCATTAATCTCTATTCTTTATTTTTTTATATATTTTTGTCTTTTCTTTATTTGTTTTGTCAACTTTTCTGTAGTTTTGACCTATTATTCTCCCCCAATGATGACCGGCGAACAGAAAAAAGGTTACTCTTAGTCTTCTTCCGACCGGAAGTTAAACCCTTGCCAAAGTGGGGCGTCCGTCTGGCTGTGTGGGATGTAAAATCACGCAGCCACGTCCGGTGGTCAGAATAGGGCCGTTAAATCCGATGCCTCGTGTAGGTGTAGAGAGAGTGCCACATTCTCTGCACGTTCAGAATCATTGCTACAACTCTTTTAATGGTCCGTAAGTGACCTGTTGCAAGGCAAAGTTGCTGTCCCTATCCAATATACCCTCATTTTCCTGTCTCAGTCCAAATTACACGACCTTTCATCCCGCACGGGATCTTTTACAGGACCTATCTATTGTATTTATTGTTAATTTGTTCTCGTCCTGAACATGCATTGAATATTTGCCACAGGACGTTAATCAATCAACAATCAATCTATTTATTTTGTAAAACCCACCCAGACCCTATAGATATAAACCATAATGTCCTCCTATATGTAGATATGATTTACTGTTTTAGCTAGATTGTATTTACTTAACAGTTATATGGAAATATTGTACCTTGGTATTATTTAGTCTATACAAACACTCATATGTACAGCAATACATTTTTAATATCAATAGTTTTAATTTAGATATATAACACTGTTATATATTTTTTAAAACAAATTCTAATATCTGATTGGAAAACAAGTCTTAAATTCAATATAAACAAATAAAAAGCGATTTGGAGTAATCAAACTTCACAATGAAACCGTTAAGATACAGCGATTGTTTAAACATCTGATCAAAAATACTTGTGAGGTAAACGTCAATGGGAAGCAACCCAACGACATGAAATAGCCGAATGACATGTAACTTCCTCAGTCAAAGTATATTTTAGATGATTTTGGCTATTCGTTTAATTTTCGTTTTGGTCATATAGCTCCTAACGTTTTACATATTTATAAACCCTTGGCTTTCATATGTTTAGGCTAAAGCGTTCAAAATGAAGGAAGAATGGAGAAATGCGCTTGTGACGCACCAAATTTGTAAAGTGTTATCTTCATTTCCACTTGTCGTAACCACAATACCGTATTCGTTTCCACTTGCCGTAACCACAATACCGTATTCGTTTCTTCGATTGTGACATTACTGAAAGTGACTCATAACAGTTATTTTACTTTTAACAAGTAGTATGACGGATGCCTTCAGTCGGCAGGGACTCGGCATACCTTTCCGGAGAACAGGAGTTCACAGCCGGTTTTTGGTCCCATTGTCTGTATCACTCTGCTCAGCTCTTAATAAAATTGCATATCACGACTTAGTGACGTCAAATATGTTGAACCAGGACTTTTAAAATAACTTTGACCCGGACATATCACCGACGTCATAATGAATGAACCGACGTTGATAAGTTTTATCCGAACTTATCAAGTCATCTTCCGGTTTGCTGGTGAAACAAAGAAAAACACTTGTTTCTAGTATACAAAATACGCAAATACAACCCGATAAATTGATAAATCGATAATTGATATTGAGATTGTAAAATATCACCTGTTCGACACAATATGAAGCTTTTTTTAAACTTTTTTGAAATAAAAAAAGCAAAAAGCATTGTGTTATTGTGCTATGGTCATTTTTTGTATTCTTGTCATTCATTTTTGCTTATGTGCTTTGTCTGTATGCCATTTTGTTTTCTTTGTTGACATATTTGTTTGTTTTATAGTGATTAAGATTATGACACAATGTTGACTGTTGTACCCCTATTTTCGACATTTTTACCTATTATGTCTGGTTGTTTTGTTCACACATTGTTGTCAACATAATGGAATTTTATGCGACTGTCATACAAGTGAGAGGTTTGTCTAACTATAAAACCAAGTTTAATCCACCATTTTCTACATAAGGAAATGACTGTACCAAGTCAGGAATATGACAGTTGTTTTCTATTCGTTTGATGTGTTTGAGCTTTTGATTTTGCCATTTGGTAAGGGACTTTCTGTTTTGAATTTTCCTTGGAGTTCGGTATTTTTGTTGTTTTTTTTTTAGTATTGCTTCAAAAGAAATGTGTTAAAGTAAATCAAAGAAAATTTAAACTTCAGTATAAAATTTTTGTCAATCATCAAATGTTATCTGAAAGAGTGGGATTGAACTTTTTTTATTTTATTCGGTGTGATTTTTTATAAGATTTATATTTAAAAACAAGTCCGATACAAAACGTCAACATCAAGATTTAATAGTATCGGGAAATCAGTGATAACTAGAACTTTGGCATCAAGGTTATCAATATAAGAAACAATACATGTTCAAAACATCAAATCGTTATTCATCATTTTCTTTTTATGTGAATAACTGGGATATGTCTTGTTTTGTTCATAATATAATAGTTTTTATTGTAAGTTAAGGTCTTACGATAAACATATAATTTTAAATGGCCATGTTGTTGTATCATGCCTAAACAATACACAAAAGGGTTTTCATTATTATTTAAGGTATGAACGTCAACCTCTTTCTGTGTAAAAGTCCTTCCGGGCCATAACAAGACATTAAAAGATTTGCTTTATGATCAGATAAACGCTAACTTTTGACTTTGTTTGGGATTAAAAGATATGAGGCTGAAATAAATAAATAAAGCAATTAAACTTTGTATTGTTAATTCACATTAAAAGTCAAAACGTGTTTGATATTTAATTTCGTTAATTCTTATACCAGGGAAATCGGAAGTTATTTAATGGTAAAGTTTAAATGACTAATGTTTTCTTTAGGACAAAAGGCTGTTTCTTATTGACGCAAATATTAATGGGCATCTGAAAACATTTTCATCTACAAAGTGAGATCAAATCATTTGTACTGATTTTAAGGTTGTTTTAATTATTTGTGATGTCCAGACATGCTTAATTTTGGTTAATGTTCCGATGTATTGTCAACCAGTTTGTATCGTTAACCTTTTAAGGTTACTTTTAAATATAAAGATTCACTTTAAGGTTTAAATAAGTTTTCAGTTATCTCTGTATTAGAATAATACCCAGCTGGATCAAGCTTACGTGTACATATGAGAAGGTAGGAATCATTACGTAAATAAATATTCCCATGATAAATTAGAGTAATTTTCTTGTGGTACATGTTTTTTTTTTTTAAATCTTATCTTGATCATTTATTTTGTTGTTGAAAACCATATATTTGGACCGTGAACACACATTTTAAACAAATTTTATCTCTTGTCTTATTTTTTTATGCTAGTATAAAAATGAGGAGATGTGGTATGATTGCCAATGAGAAAACTATCCAGAAGAGTTAAAATGGAGTGGTAGTAAGCAATTACAGGCCATCGTATAGTCGGCTAAAAAAGGTCCCGGCAATGATTTTTTAAATGAAACCAAATTCCAAAATGTACACTTTGTTGTTAATTTCTGTGTCATTTGGTCTCTTGTGGAGAGTTGTCACATTGGCAATCATACCACATTTTCTTTTTTATACTTTGATATTAATTGATAAAAATTGTTAAATGTTTTTAAAGGTTAATATGCAGAGTTGTCAATAAATAACATTAATGAACTATGAGTTGCCATCTATAAATTCTGTCATTCGTTATTCTCCACCAAATTGGTATTATCTGTAACAACATTAAACTTGTTTATAGCGTTATATTCAATATGTACTTGTATAAGAAATATCAGGGTTTTTTTTTCAAAAAGCGACGATAGGAAAATATATTACATCATAATCTTTCACAATATTGAAAGTTCGGGATCATTAAAGATACAAATACTAATACGTCTTTCCATTGATATAAAAGTAAAAGTACGTTTTAAAAAACTAAAAAATAGTATTTCTTGACGTCTGTGATTAGAATTTAATAACATTTAGTATATTTCAAAAGAAACACACTATATGCATCGTTTACTGCAAACTATGTTGAATACATTTCGAATTCTGCTTCGGACATGATACACCAAACATTGTCAATTGACTTGCGAATGATTATCGATTAAACACTTCAATTTCAATACTGAAGGAGCACTGACGTTCCTTCTCACTGTTGAGTGGGAAAACAAGGAGAGCTTTCTGTTACTTTTTTGAATAGGTAAGCTCAGAATTTAAATAACGTTTTAAAACAACATAAAATGATTTCCATGGAAAAAAAACCCATTTAAACATAGTCTGAACTTATATATATTGATAAAATTTAATTTTTATTTGGATTTAAATCTATCGAATAACGATTATTGTAACTTTTGTATAAAATTATTTCCGTTGGAAAAAATCCGTCAAAATAGAATCGGAATGACTTCATATACAAAATTGACTTTTAATTTTGGGCATTAACTCTATCAAATAACTTTTATTTTTAACTTTATTTGTACTTAAAATTTAAATTGACAATCGACGTTTTTAATATTCAATCAGCCTGTTTACTTGACAAAATTCAAGTGTAAAATTTCAAAACAATATGACGATAATTTATAAATAAAATTATGTTTACTCTAAGAACAAAAGACGGTCGTTTTCCTTGACATATTTTTTGTACGTTTGAGAAAAACATTTATCTAATCTTATAGTGATCAGACTATGGATAAGATTTTGAATAATTGAGTTAATAAATGTGTGTAAGCAGACATGATAATTTGTATGTTTGTTGAGATGTGTGGTTACCCGGGCTAGTTATGTTGACAGTTTAAACATTTATTTGATTTTATTAAACCTATAATCACTTTGTATGTTTAAAGTGCTAACCCATCATTTAAGGTAAAATACCTGGAGAAGATACATGTAATAACGGCAGGTAGGCATTTTAATTCTTATCAGTTCTCAGTTTACAAAGTTTTAACATATATCGAATTACTAGCAGATGTAAAATTTTCAATCAAAAGCAATAACCAATAAGTTTGCAAATTTGAATAAAATATCGAAGTTTTCTTCTTCTCTTTGGTGACTATGCAACACAATATGTGTAGTGTTGTTGCAGTCGAAGAGGAATAGTTTTATGTTATATAATACATGTTCGTTGTCTGTCAGATTTATGACGGCTATTCTTGATACTGTTTATCATATTTTTAATATTCTTCCGTATCCTAGCTTTACTTTCAATATCATGCAGACAATGACAGATTATTTTCAAGCAGTGAAATATAAAAAGTTCAGTAGAATGCGAATGCTGGTAAACTTTGGGGAAATAACGGTTGCCATTCAGCAAGTGCACTAGCTCTCACTGACGTTGCGCACGATGTTGGTACCAATTCCATTTTGCTATAGATTAGCATAAAAATAAATACGTAGACTGGTCAGATCGATAAAAATATAGTGATTTCTGATTGAATTCATTCCATTAGACTTGAAATTAAAGAAAAAAGGAACCGAAATTTGAAATACCAGGAATTATAACACTTAATTATCACATTTTTACGCAAAAACGTAATGTCCAACGTTTCATTTTGTATACAAAAGATCAGAGTTCCGTTTCTCTCCTACGGTATTTTTTCTCTGATCATCGTAGAACTTCACAATAATATTGCTATTGTTATAATTATTCGCGTGTTAAAGCAAAATCAATATCACTGAAACCGTTATCCGGAAAATGTTATTTTTGTAAACGGTCTGAAAAATGTCCAACCGTATGCAAAGTAAGTATATTTCGGGTTTGCGCATTTATACCGTGAAATTGAAAAAGCTGAGAGAAAAAATATTTATTATATTTTGAAAGTTTTTTTACTTTTCTCCTGGTTCATGATATTTTTTTGCCGGAAACCATGCGTATAGTTTCTATTGCAATGACTTCAAAAAGTATAGCCATCTTGTCCCAACGAAAAAAACGCTGTATTTTCTTTAAAATTGAGGTTTTAACCAGCTGTCTATCAAATAAGCATAGTTAGATCATAAAAAAAAAAACTTGGCGGTAAAGGTTTTTCTGTTTTTCTTCTTAAACAATATAGTGTTTAATATTTTTTCGTTAGGCAACAAGGTTTTTAGATCGTTTCAAAAAGTATAGCCGTTTTGTCCCAACGTTCGCAAAACGTAATTGATGTCATGCTCTGGTTTTTAATTTTATATCGTAATTATTTGTTTCCAGTTTAATTCGAATGAAAATAAAAATACATGTATAAATTACAATACAACCAATGTATGAGAAAGGAATAGTTTAAGTTTAAATTCAAATGTTGACCAAATGAGATCGATATAAAAAAAATATCGGGATCTTAGGGTTTTTTTTTTTATAGCATATTTGTTTTATATAAGGAACATTGTCTATCTGCAAGTTTTAAATCGTCAAAAGTAACATGTATATTTTTTTGTTAATAAAATAAAATAGAGAAAACCCATTGCTGGCAATTATAACAAACAAAGATATGCCACAAATATACGGAAATGAGAAAATTTAAAACATGAGTCCCGAATGTTTAACTTCCTAAATATTTTGCGACAAAGAAAGCATCGGGAAATGATAAAATATAGAAAGGAAACGGAAACGGGAAGAAATGCAACAAAAGGAATAAATATGCAAAAAAATAGAATATGAATTCAAAATCTAATTTATATTAAAAATAAATCTGTGTAAATTTGGACATTATTGTATCGGATTCGTTAATGCGAACTGCTGCCGAAAGGAAAATTATCAATTATGGCCTGGAAAGACTGACAACTCCTGTAAATGAATTTCATTAAAAAATAATCTATACGACCACTTTGAGTTTTATTTGTAAATTTATGCATTTTTTCAGACAAACCGAAATCGGTTACCAAATTCACAACAGTAAATTGACATCATCAATAATATGCTTGAACGCCTGAAACTTTCTTTGAAATCGTCGATATCGCCTTATTTTGAGGAACGTCGTGAAACGCTAAGTAGTACCAACATCGTGCGCAACGTCACTGCTTTCACATTTCTTCGTTCTATATGGACTGTGCTAACATCGTTTTTTGACAATAGTCAAAGTTGTGCACACATCTTTTGGTTGCACAATTCTTGCTTGATTCTTCTGTGTCGTAAATGTAATGCAAAAGTTGTGGTTTTCTTGTTTCTTAGTAACCACTTTATTTTTGCTGAAGAGATGAATTTTGCTTACTATTATATACCTTTCTACAGTTTAATGATTTTAATAGAGTATTTTCCAGTTCTTGTAGAGGCAAATAGCAAAAAGCTATTTTCTTTAATTTTACCTGCATTTTGAAAACAAATAAAAAAATCTTGCAATAGGATCAGTACGAGGCACACAATTTGCCAGTCATAATTTTGCGTAAAAATAATTAACTTTTTTTTTGGGCATTAAAAGCAAATTTTTAATACGATAATGCAAAGAAATCGATCAAGTTAACACGAAAAGTCTCGTCTTTGACGTGTCTATCCCACACTTACGCGGCCATGACAGAATTGTGTGATCTGCTTGTATAATCAACATCTATAAAAAAAAAATCGGAATTCTAGTATCATATCCTCCATACTATAAGTCCTCCATCTCATATTTACATACTTACTACTGATCGCCTCAGTTAATAGAAAGTAAGACAAATGAGACATTCATAAATTTGACGCTATACATCTTATGCTGCTCGTTTGATTCCTGACAAGAGTGTTTGATTCATGTTAAGGGCATCATTGTGTCTTTGATGAGAGTTGTCTCATTGGCAATCATACCACATTTCTTTTTATGATTAAAAGCGGCTTTTTTTTTTTCATTTGCGCGTAGCGATTTTGTGTCATGAAATGTTACATCATAGCCTTTCTTTTCAATTAAGTTAACAGTTAACTCCAACTGAAATTTATGTTGTACCATAAAAACATTATAGAAGCACGTAACAGCTTGAACTTATAAAACTATAATATTGAAAACAAATCTGGGTTTTCTTGATTGGAAACGTAAATAAAAGAATTATGTCTATTTCCTGTTAAATTCAATATCAAAACAACGGTTTATTATAGATTTATTAAAACAATGTCAAATAAATGCATTGGAATAAACAATATTAAAAGTATGCTTTAACTTTTCATATGTAAGCACTAGGAAGTTCTTAAACAAAAAGTTTTAAAATGACCTCAAACCACTTTTTGTAAAGCGAATCGATTACATTACTAACGCAAAATACAGAATTCAAACATTTAAAATCAAGATAGAAAAAAAAACTGAACTCTTGGCTTCTTTGAATACTGTGAACTAACTTATTTTCGCGGATATTTTTTTCTTAATAATAATTTTTCATGCGATTTCGCTGAAATTTATGGTTACGACTTTCTAGCGTGCTTATAGAAAATATCGTAGTTTGTCATATTCGCGTTATTTTCTAATCCCGAAAGTCGCGAAAATAAATCGCTTGCGAATATAAGTAAGTGTATAGTACTTTAAAGCCTAATAGATGTTAATATATTCTATCTTAAGTTTTACCCCTGAAAGTGGGAGAGAAAGGATATGTCATTTAGCTTTTCGACTGCTTATTTTTGTTAATATATATTTCATGAATTCATGTTGCTGCTGGTTTCCTAAGTAAATACTAAGGTTAATACAAGTGCCCGGAGCAGCTTGTCCCGTATTATAATTGTGCCTTGCTGATGTCTGCAAGCGATATACGAGTTTGATACAGACCATACGATTGATGTGTACCGAAAAAACAACGTTACATTCGGTTATCAAAAAAGAGTATATAGAAAAACAAAATCAATTCTATTTGCAACGTAAAACAACGGAACTGATCGATCTTTTCGATGTTTTATTTTTATTCAATTGTTGCCAATGACGAGAAAAACACTTTGTAAGATAATTGTAAATCCTAGTTGTCTCTATGGATCTTTCCTGTTACAACTTGAAAAATGAGTTTCACTTTAGGAGAGAGAGAACTGTTTATATAATAAGGCATATGTTAAAAATATCAATGATCATCCAGAGCAGTCATTAAAAATTAGTGGCATTGTGTGAGCTAGTCCGCTTTGTGGTGTCCACTTAATTCTGACTTGTCTTGGGTCCTCCTTCGACATTCCTGCCATCATAAAATACATAAATAGTGATTGTTTCTTATTTTTCCCCTTCATTAATATCTAATGTGAGTTTATGTATAGAATAGCATGATCAATATAACACTAGTCACTGACTTGTTAATGTATGCGTGTATAATTTAAACTTAATTTTATACATTGTTTGTATAGACCGAAATATATCAAATATTTATAGTCATCTCACAAGAGAGTTAAATCATTATAGATTCAACTTTTTGACGTGGATAATTTTATTTCTTGTTAATTTGGTTTTCTCACTTTGAATGTAAACTCATTATCATGTGGAGTTAGCTTAGGATCGTCCTTTGTCGTTTTGATTGAAATTTAGGATAATTTTGGTGTGTCATGTAGAGAAACGTACTAAAACCCTTGTAAAAGGTCATTTTCAGATAAATGGTTTCTTTTCACTTAACAAAACTCTAACAAAAGTAAGCATTCTTATACTTATTATATGAAGAGGAAGTTACGATTCCTTTTCACAATAAAAAGACTACGTATTAATCTCCACTGATCGCTATATCAGTTACAAAATAAAGATCTTTTGTGTGCCATTCGGGTTTTATGATTTATCGTTAAACGATTTCCAATTTAATGTTTCGAATTTATCATTCTTTTATATATTAAGACGATTCTAAATATTTATTTGTACAACACTTAAAACTCATAGTTGATCAACAAAACGTTTTACATTCTCGTACATATGTAGGTAGTTGTTATTGCTATTCATACTTCATATTTCGACAATTTTTACTTGTGTAATCTCAAGTGCACGTTATCTTCGTTTCCGTTAAGCCCCATATTTTAGATATTAAAAAAGCTCTGAAAAAAATCTGTAAAAGGCCTACTGGATTTGCAAGACCTTTCTCTCTCTCTCTCTCTCTCTCCTAAATTCAGCAATGTATTACAACTTTCCTTTAATCTTAAATGACTTCTATTGAATTTGCATGTATATTAGTAACAGTATAATCCAATTATTTTTTATATAACTGTATAATTGGGTTAAATTGTTATAAACATACTTTTGTGTTATAACCAACCTGTAAAGGTGTTTAGTTTAAACATTTTATTTGAAAGAGAAGCAAAAGGGCTTGGACTCGAGATATAACAATATTATATCCTCCCCCAATACAACTACCAACACAAGAACATTTAATGATGACGAAAACATGTAAGAATGTATGAACTACAAAAACAAAAATAAGGTACAATATAAATTTGAAATGACTGTATAGAGTGTGAAATCAGTTGTTTGTTGCATTGATTGATTGATTGATTGTTGGTTGCTTAACGTCCAGTGGCAAATATTTCATGCATATTCAGGATGAGAACAAATTAACAATAAATACAATAGGTAGGTTCTGTAATAGGGGCTTCCGGGATTAAGGTCGGAGAAATTTAGACTGCCACGGGAAACGAGGGTATATTGGATAGGGACAGAAATTTAGCCTTGCAACAGGTCAACTACGGACCCCTCAAAGAGTTGTTGCAAGGGTTCTTAACGTGCAAAGAGCGTGGCACTCTCTTTACACGAGGCATCGGATTTAACGTTCCCATTCTGACCGGACGTGGCTGCAAATTTGTACATCCCGCACAGCCAAACGGACGCCCCACTTTAGCAAGGGTTTTACTGCGGTCGGAGGAAGACCAATGGTGTTTGTTGTATATTCTGGATGGGTTCTCTGTCCTGATTCTGAATGATTATTGTACAAAGTCAAACATTAATATATTAAGCTCAAAGGTGTTCAATGCAGTGGAACTGGTGTTTATAGAAGGTAATATTTTTGTATTTTTCAGATCGGATAGAATTGGAAAATGGCTAGTTTGACTGTCGAGGCACTAAAGCAGCATCAGAGCGATGATATTCCTAAATCGCGTAAATTGTCCACAGCTCACAGGGACGGAAGTGACGGAATAGGGCCTTCAATAAGTGGTCCAAGTCTTCGGCGTTACTCAAGGTTGGAACCACGACCAAGTGTACAGTATGGCGCTTCTGGAAGACGCATGTCTCAGGTTTCTAGAACGAGTATCTCAGGAACTTCATTAGGCGCCAAACTTGTAATACCAGTCAAAATACAAAATACCTACAGACTTGAACCTGAACAATCGGAGAAATTTAACGCAGAATCGGTTCAAAAAATGATGACTGGTGTTTTGTCATCTTATTTGGACGGCGAAGTTTACGATCAGAAATTATGTGCGAAACATTCTCAAGAATTGTCGGATGTAATTAAAAAACGTGTGAAAGAATTGGGATATCCTAGATACAAACTAGTCTGTAATGTTATGATTGGACAAAACAGCAATCAAGGACTTCATTATTCTAGCCGTTGTTTATGGAATAAAGAAACAGACAATTATGCAGAGTCCGTTTATTCCAAAGGGTCTTTGTTTGCTGTAGCCACAATGTTTGCAACTTACTTTGAGTAAACATCGAAGGCGGTTTAGAGAATTAAAGTTTCTTTTGAATAATACTGACACATGTTTTAAATGCACTCCGGTTGTGTTTGTTCATTGGTTATATAACCGTAAATGTAAGGATATTATTAGGAATTATGGATATATAGTTAAATGAACAAATACATATTGTGACATGTTTTTTTTATTCCGTCCAAGTATTTAATTGCTGAAAGTGAAAATAATTCAGACTAGAAATTAGTAATATCGACGTTCCAGACAGTTCTTGCTAATAAAACACTAAACATTGATATGCATAGCAGTATATATTAAGTCCATAACATATGTCAATAAATGCATTGTTTACAATGAATCGTCTATTAAATAGTTTTATAGTTTATAGGTCTTGGACAAACAAAGTACGATTTAAAACCCTGGTGCACGTAAACGTGACAAATTAAATTTCATAAAATTACGAGTTTTACGAATTCAAAACGTTTGTATCCAATATTTGATTTATGTGTGTTCAATAAAGGCTGTATGCTAATCCATTACATATACCATGTTTGAATACTGAAATATTAAAGTCAATTTTGCAAACTTAAGATTGCTTTACAGACGCACTCAAATTCTCAAGTATGAAATTATCATAAGGTTGTATTTCATTTTAAGCCATATATCAACTTTAAAATATATTCAAGATTTTTCCTTTTCGTAAGTAGAACATTTTCCATGTTAATAATGCACATTGTTACCAGGTAAGAAATTGTATTCGAAGCAATTAATGGGCATTTTGGCAGCCCTTAAAAAACTTCACCTGCAAGTTGTCTGAACGCAACAGACTTGCATATAATTCAACAGTTAGTTACGTTGATGACTGCGTCAATTGATTATAGTATTAACGAAAAAAGTCCAAAAGAGGAAATTGCCTCATCATTACTAAACTTACAGGTACAATATCCTCGCTTCATTGGAATGAATAGATCAAGGTATATGGATTGGTTTATAACATGTCGCCCCATGACTTTGATTAATATCCGTGTGTGTGCCATTTATAATGGAACAAGGTGTGCAAATTTAAACAATTTAAGAATTCAAAGTACAATTTCTGATGTTCAGATATTAGACGTAAAGGTGATTTAATTTCCCAGTAGTTGATAAAGTTTGATGCAATAAGTTTTCATCTCTTCATTCAGTACATTTGTACTAGATATCTAAACTTGATATACTATTTTAAATGAAATACAGGCTGCCCGAGTTACAGATTCCTCTTATGCTAAGAACAGACTTGCACTGTCCGTGTTGATCGGATATTGATAAACACAAGCTAAAAATACCTATTACTACGTCCGTGAATAATGATATTACCGTTGGTATTATTAATGTTATTAAACGATTTCAATATGCCTATATAGCTAACATAGAATTAAAGATTGAAGACCATTCCGTAGTACGGAATATGAACAGAAATTTGCTCAACAACAGGCCAAATTTGCTCAACAACAGGCCACCTACGGAACCATCGAAGAGTTGATGCAAGGTTTCTTAGTAACGTGCATAGCGTGGCACTACCTCTATACGAGGTATCAGATTTAACGACCCCAATCTGACCGGACGTGGTTGCGTATTTATAAATCCCGCACAGCCAAACAGACAACCATCTTTGGTAAAGGTTTTACTGCCAAACCAAAGTGACCATATTTCTATTTCCCAGTCACTCGTGGAGACTACTTGTACAATATATCTCGACTAAAACTGTGTAGTAGGGTAGAATATGGTATTTTAATATTTGAATGTGTTAATCGATCCAGTAAAAGTTACAGATGCTATCTTGTATAATATTAACATCATGTTAGGCCATAGAGTCACAATATATATATATAAAGCCCACTGTTACATCTAGGCATTTATTGTTACATGGTTTCAATAACCCAAGTGACCACGTACGAATATTTTGGAAACCGTCATGGCACTGAATATACGAATAACAATATATATCTTGTTTTATTAATCTGACTTTTGTAAAGATTAAGTCAAACAAACGCAAAACTCGAACACTTGACAATGATCAACGTTGAAAATATAAGGTTGACTCTGAACGCATAATAAAAATCGAACTAGCCAAATGAGATATCACATTATAAAGCCTCTTGTCGAGAATTTTTGAAGATATTCTTTTAACGTTTAATTACAGGGGGCTATGTTCTCTTTAGCAACTAGGTAACAGCAGTCGGACAGTTCCCAATGTTCCGTATACATTGTGAAGGTGGCGATAAAGGGAGAACGATTGCTTCTGTTTGAAATACCTATCTTATAATAGCGAACTATGGAAAGTGCAATTGTCTCCTTATAGACTAGTGTTGTAGTCATCTGTCAATCACTATTGCAACTACTGATAAACATTGCTTAGTCTCAGGGAATAATTGAGTTGAACAATTTTCGGAAGTGGTGGACTAGAATAAGTCAAAATTTACTCTTATCTTATATATATATATATTCATCAACAACCAGACCTGCTTCTATTTTGATTAAAAGTAAAGACTCCACAATTCAAAACTTCAGCGACTCATTTCAAAAAAAATCTTATGATACAAAATACTCCGTAACTCATGACTATTTCAGTATATATATATGATTAATTATTGTCGTAAGATATTTTGTGAAAAAAAAACCCACAGACCTTCTTTAATCTCTTATTTCTAGATGCCTGCAAAAAATTCATACATTATAATGGTTTCACATTTTTCATGTCGGAGACTTTTATAGCCGTCTTTACTTCATGGGCTTTTTCATTGTTGAAGGCCGTACGTTGGCCTATAATAACTTTCATCTACTTCATTTGAACTCTGGTGGATAGTTCTCTCATTGTCAATCATACCACATCTCCTTATAATTATATGCATATTTTTGGTATTTTCAATCTCAATAATGACTCGTTTGCGCATGTAACGATCTGTATTAACAGGTGATAGATCTATTGTTATTGCAATAACAGACATTTAAAATAAGAAAATTTCAGAAAAAAAAACTTTTGTAGACCACACTCATAGAGTGAGTATATATAAATAAGAAGATGTGGTATGAGTGCCAATGAGACAACTCTCCATCCAAGTCACAATGTATAAAAATTATAGGTCAAAGTACGGCCTTCAACACGGAGCCTTGGCTCACACCGAACAGCAAGCTATAGAGGGCCCCAAAATGACTAGTGTAAAAAACTCAAACAGGAAAACCAACGGTCTAATCTATATAAAAAACGACAAACGAGAAACACCTATGAACCACACCAACAAACGACAACCACTGAACAACCGGCTCCTGACTTAGGACGGGTGCATAAAAATTCAGCGGGTTTAAACGTTTTAACAGGCGCCAACCTTCACCCTAACCTGAGACATTAGTGTAACATTACAACATAAAAAGACACTATAAATATCAATTGAAATGGCTTAACTCGACCAAAAAGACCTTTTAAACAAAAACAAGTAAACATACACTGAACGAATAAGTTGAATACAATATTGAAACGTAGGTGCCTATATAATATAGACGTTACAGGTAATAATAAAAAAGATGTAGGACGAGTGTCTATAAAACAACTCTTACCTGGAAAAATAATGGCGTTAAATAAAACAACGTGCACAGGTAAATTTAAATATAATAATTTTGTTGTTAGGAGTACGGAAGTAAACATTTATTACAAAATTAATAAATTTGTTGTTCAGATTACGAGTACAAAAATGAAAATTTATCGTCATACTAAATACTTATCAAAGGTGGTGCATATTAAAAATAGTGAGACGAGATACAACACGAAATAAGTAAACTTTGAATAACAGAAATGCATTACAAATTGTGTCAACAGGTCAAATTATCACGAAAGTACGATTTGAGAGTACTCGCAGTTACTGAAAGCTAGTTAAACGCCAAAAACAATTATCAATAACAAATCATGCATCAGAGACTAAAATCAGTTAAAACAAATCCCATGGACATTCAAAGAAGACATGACTTGTGCAATGCCAAAATAAAAGTATAGACTGGCAGTAGGATCGTTAGGATTTAACCTTATAATAAATATGTATTATGTTATATATAGATAAAGCAATCTCTAAAAAGAAAATTAACTTGGATGTGTATTTATACATCCCAAAAACCATTCGAAAAGAATACACATTTAGTTATGTGGGCTTATATTGCAATCACCTTGTCCGACTGTTCGACCAACACGTATTTTCTTCCCACGTTTCTCAGGAACTTCTACATAGAATAACTTCATTTTTGTTAATGGACTAAACAGTGATAAGTTGTAATGTGTAGTTTCTTTTCGGATATGTCAGATACCTTCTCCCTTGATACCTTGAATTTTTCAATATGTTAAAGGGGCATTAGCTGTCAAATTCATGTATTTATATTGATTTTGTTATCAGTAAATTACAATCAAACTAAATATTATTTTTATATACATATGCACATTCATGGCTCTCCAATCTGTCGATACCTGTATCTTGGCATTGCACAAAGTCATTGTTTTCTCTCACTGTTAATGACGTCTTTACACAAAATCCTTTAGATGTTGGATGTGAACTGATAGATATTTTAGTCTTAGATGCATGATTTTTTTTATTAGCTGTTATTAGCTTTGAACTAGCTGTCAGTAACGGCGAGTACTCTCAGATCTGTATTTATAGTGTCTTTTTGTTGTGTGGATGTACAAGTACCCTGCCACGTCCACTCTGTGTTTTTGTTATGTATATTTCTGTTTGTATCAATCTGATGAGTTAAGCCTTTTTCAACTGATTTTTATAGTTTGTTCTATGTTGTACTGTTACACTACTGTCCCAGGTTAGGGGGGGGGGGGGGGTTGGGCGCCCGCCACATTCTGTATGTACCTGTCACAAGTCAGGAGCCTGTAATTCAGCGGTTGTCTTTTGTTTCTGTGTATCATATTTGTTTTTTGTTCATTATTTTGTACATAAATTAGGCCGTTAGTTTTCTCGTTTGAATTGTTTTACATTTGTCATTTCGGGGCTTTTTATAGCTGACTATGCGGTATTGGTTTTGCTGAACCTTCACCGCACGGTGACATATAGTTGTTAATTTCAGTGTCATTTGGTCTCTTGTGGAGAGTTGTCTCATTGGCAATTATACCACATCTTCTTATTTATATATTTCAATTCAATAATACATCAGCGATGATTTTTAGCTTATTTCGAAAAATTTGGGCCAAACTGACTGCTTATAACGAAATATTATTTCTAAATTCCGCTTTTATTAATACTTGAAACAAAAAGAATAGTATTTTAATTAAATTTTTGTCTTATTCGTAGCTAATGCATCTTTTAATTAAATGAATGAACTTTTTCGTCACACAAAGTTTTGTCAGCAGCTTAACAGT